CAGGATGACACCAAAACTGTCTACGCGCCTCTTGCGCGTCCAACTGGCCTGTACCCAGCGCATGCCTCCATGGGCGGTGGACGCGGCCGCGCGTGTCGGCACGATCGCCAGCTGGCACGCTGCTGCCCCTCGCGCGGGCTCTGGTCCCAGCCAGGGCGGGGGGCGACACCTCCGCGGGCGGCAACGGGGCTACGCGGCCCGGTGCGGTCTGGTCCTGCCGTGCCGACGCGGACGATGGCTTCAGACACCGCGTGGACCCTTCCATCTGGAACAACCACTGCTGTCCGACCGAGCGGAGCGTTCGAGATTGGCGCGGGCCGCCAGTGGCGTTCCACTGGCGGCGCGCACAAGGGGGTCGGGGGAGGGGGGGAAGGCTTCTCAGAAGGCGGCTGCTTCTTAGAAGGCGCAGGCCCCACACCTGTAGACAAGGCCCGCGCCTTCTGAGGAGCAGTGGCCTCCTTCTAAGAAGCCCTTCCCCCTCCCCCTACGTACCCCCCCCTGTGCGCGTGGCCGAAGATTGGCGCAGACTGCCAATGGCCCTCCGCCCTGAGCGCCCCGCGCCGTCGTCCCGGCCCACCGAGGCGGCGAGGACCTGCCGCGCGGTGGCCGGGCCCGCCGTCCGGGCGGCGCACGGCCTCGGGAGGGCGCGGCGCTGCACACTGCGGCGGCGCCTCCGGGGGCGGCGACGCCGGCCGCAGCCTGCGGCGCGGCCCCATGGCGCACGCGGCGGGGCGCCGGCGCAGGGGCGCACGGTGCGGCGCTAGTCAGGGCGAGGGGGAGCGGACCGGAGGAATCTGGAGATCGGAGAGGGGTGCAGCATCAAGGGGTGTTGGTGACAGTCGTGGCAATGGCGATGTGATCGACGAGAAATCAGCATCGCCAGACTCAGCAGTGGCGCCACACACTTTTACACCACACCCCTCTCCTACCTCCCCGAGGACGGAAGGAGGCCAATGATACACCTGCACTGGCCCTGGCTCGGGGACGCTTCGGACCCAGGTCCTAGCAAGCCCGGGTCAGCCAACCCTTGCAGGATCCTGCGGGTTCCTGCAAGAATCTGCGCGCCAGTCCGAGCTATTACAACCCTGGCTTTGCAGGCTCCTGCGTAATCCAGCGTTCTGGCTGACCCCCGTTTGCATTGACCCCCGTCTCAAAGCTCCCGAATGGCGAAGTTTATCCTGGGCCCACGATCAATGCATACGCACTCCTGGCCTGGGCATGCCGAAGGGGCATACACCGATCCTGGCCCTAGGATCGGCCTGATCGGAATCGATGTACGAGTAGAGCTTGCGTTATCCGATGGGATGGAGGGACAAGGAGAAAGCGGGAGGGGGTGAGAAAATGAGGAAAGAAAACGGCAACGATCGCCCACATGGAAAATGTGGTCGAAGGGCTTGGTTTGCATAGAGTACTTGCTTGTGCGCAGTGCATGGTATGCCCCTCGGGAGACTCCACCGAAACGCAAGGTCTTACATTTAGAACATGTTGCAACAATTTGATTCACTGCGACTCTGTATGATGAATTTCGTTCGTGCTTGCGCGAATGGCACTCAGCAACGACATGCACCCCCCCGATCTTGGCAAATCCATTACTTAACCTGACCCAGACCCTGTCGACACTGCGCCAAAGCTAACCTGACCCATTAAAGCTAATGTGACCAACGGCTCGGCGACATCAGTGTATCACGCGCGCACGCTGTAGCAACTGATGCACCAGAATGGGGCGCCACAGCAACATGCAATGCAAAAGCTGCCAACTATATCACTAATCCCTTGTCGTTTGTAATGAAAAATATGGCCGGCGCTGCTGCGAAAGAAACTTTCGCAATCATGGATATGGCCGGCGCTGTGGCGAGAACACCGCTCTCAATCATGCATGCGGCCAGCGCTAAGGCGCGAGCAGCTTTCGCAATCATGGACGTGGCCAGCGCTACGGCGAGAGTAACTTTCGCAATCATGGGTGTGGCCGGCGCTGAAGCGACAGCAATATGTGCACGCATGGACGTGGCAAGCGCTAAGGCGAGAGTAATTTTCACAATCATGGGTGTCGCCGGCGTTGAAGCTAGAGCAGCATTTGCTATCGTGGATCTCGCAATCATGGATGTGGCCAGCGTTGAGGCGCGAGCAACATTTTTCTATCATGGATATGACAGGCAGCCATCGTAGTCGTGGATGTCGCTGGCGCTGAGGAAAAAACGACGTTCGAAACAAAGGATGTGGCTGGCACTGAAGCGAAAACAACGTTCGCAATCAATGACGCGGCCAGTGAGTATACGAAACCAAATTCGCAACCTGCGGCGCGGCGAAAGAAACATTCCCAACCATGGATGCGGCCTGGGTTTAGGTCACCGCAAAGTCGATACAGTGGATCTGGCCACTGGTGAAGCAAAAGCGTAAAGTGTCCGTCGCAATCGTGGGCGAAGTGTCCCACTGCACACGCGCACTGGCTCTAGCGCAACCAGCAGCACCACTGAGACGAGCAGTGCCAGAAACAGTAGCACCATGCGCAGAAGCAGCAACAACACCAACGCCAACAATAGCAGAAACAGTAGTGCAAGCCACACAAGCGACTCCAGCAGAACCTGTCTCACCAACGCGATAGCAAACAGCACCACCACCACGCGCACCAACACCAGTATGACCACCACGACGGGGAATGGAGCAACAACATCACGCGACACAGCACAAGCGCCAAAGACAGCAACATTGTGACCACAACAACAGCAAACAGCAACATCAAACGCAGCAGCACCAGCGTCACCAGCAGAACCACTGTGACGAGCACGACTGGGAGCAACATCGCCACGCAAAGCAACTCAAACCCAACCAGCAGTACCAGTGTGACCAGCACGACGGGAAGCAGCAGCATTACGCGCACCAGCACACGCGCAAGGAGCAGCACCGCCGCGACGCGCACGACAGGATCCAACAGGACGACACGCGGCAATAGAACCACCACCAACCATACCACTGTCATCAGCACGACGAAAAAGCAGCAACACCACGGGCAGCAACACAAACGCCACCATGAGTTCCACTAGAACGAGCACGACGGGAACTGGCAGCGCCAGGCGACTCGCGCAGGACTGCGCGAGCACCCCCACCCCCCCACAGGCCAGACCAGCGGGGACGGGGGGTTCACTCCAGCGTACAGCGTCTTGGCCCAGTCAGATTGTTCAATTTGGCGCTGGGGACTGGGGCGCCCCAGAGCAGAAATGCGCAAACCGCCCGCGCGAAGTTTTGCGGGCCCCACTACAGGAGCAACTGCTGCTCGCCCCAAGCCCGACTGGCGGTGGCGCCCACGGAATGGGCGCCGGGGCCTACAGTAGCGGCGCTAGTTAAGCTGGCGCGCCAGGGCGAGCGCGAAGACGGGGCAGTGACTCGTCGTGGGCCCGCCGTCCGAGCCCGCCGCCTGCCGCCGCCCACTCCAGCCAGCAGCTCCAACGCACGGCAGCGGCGCCCTGTCCGGCCAGCAGCAGCACACGCGCGAGCAGCACTAATGCCACCAGCAGTTCCACCAGGACGAACACGACGAGAACCAGCAGCACCACGCAATTCGCGCTGGACTGCGCACGCGCCCCCGTCACCCCGCCAGCGACGCCGGCGGGGGGAACTTGTCCCCGTGCTCCAGCGCAAAGCGCCACAGCCCAAATCGTTCGATCTTGCGCTGGGAAACGAGGGCGCCCCAGGGCACGGCCCACAGCCCGTCTCGCGAAAGCCTGCTGCTCGCCCCCCGAACCGCAGCCCACGCGGCATAGCGGAGATGCGCACGACGACACGCGACGCGTCGGTCAGCAACAGAGGCGAGACAAGGAGTTCCACTATGACCAGCCCGACAGGAAGCAGCATCGCCGGGAGCAGCAGCAGCGCAAGCGCCACCAGCAGCACAACAGCGAGTAGCAAGACGAAGGCAGCAGCAAGAGTGCCATCTGCAGCGCACTCCACCAAAGCCTGTGCGAACCAGCAACACCACACGCAGCATCAGCGCCGCCAGCAGCAGTAGCGCGAGCGACACGAGCGCCCTCAGCAACGGAGCCACCAGCAGCACACAGCAGCAGCACGACGCGCAGAAGCACCAGCAACCAGGAACACCACCTTGACCCGCACACTGGGAGCCAGCAGTACGAAGCGCACCAGCTCTAGCACAACCAGCAGAAATACCACGGCGAAAACTACTGCAGCATCGGCGCCGCCACCAGCAATGCTGAGAGCAGCAGTGGCAGAAGCGAGGCCAGTAGTAGCTCCACGGCTCGCACGGCAGCAACCAGCACAACCACGAACGGCTGCACGAGAGACGCGAACAGCTCCAGTATGACGAGCGCGACGAGGAGCAGCAACAACACACGAAGCAGAATCAACGCCACCAGCACCACCACTGCAACGAGCACGACGGCGAGCAGCGGCGCCAAGCGCAGCAGCACGAGCGCCACCAGCGGCACCAGCACCATGGCGACGAGCACGATACGAAGCAGCTGCGCCACGCAAGGCAGCACCAGCGCAACCAGCAGTTCAACCAGCACGAGCACGGCGGGGACCAGCAGCAACAAGCGATTCGCGCTGGACTGCGAACACCCCCACCCTCCCGCCGGCGAAGCCAGCGGGGGTGGAAGCTTTCCTTCCCCCTACCCAGCACAAAGCGTCACGGCCCGGCTTGTTCAACTTTGCGCAGGACACTGGGGGGCGCCTCAGACGAAGATGCGCAGTCCGCCCGTGCGAAGCCTGGCTGGGAGGTGCGAGCCCCGCCCCAGGAGCAACTGCTGATACGACTACGCGCGATTGGCGCTCGTTCCCAAGGGGGAAAGGCTGCGCCAGCGGCCTGCTGTAGCAGCGCTACGCAGACGGGAAAAAGTGATCACAAAATCAGCAGTTCGATCATCGTGAATGATCCGCAGACGGCAACGCCCAAAGTGGATCACTCCTTTCAATTTTGGCCGCGCGCGCAGGCGTGCACCACGGGCCGAGTCATTGATATGCCGCACTTTGGCTTGCGCGCCCAGTGGCACCATTGGAAGGCGGACGCCACTTAATGCCCGGGTGCTCTTCCACGTTCATCCTTCGCAGGGCCGCTGGCGTGGGCGGTTCCACGTTCTGCGTTGCGGTTTCGCTCCCACCAGTCGAACTGCTCACGTGCGACGCGCACTGCAGACGATGCGGTTGTCCATAACCTTGACAGGCGGATGTCACTTGATGCCACGGGCCCCGCCTGGCGGATTCGACATCTTTTCGGCTCCCATGCCTGTGCGACTTTTGTTATAAACTTGTTGCACGGAGATGGGTATTTCTGCCTAAGCGTTGGGTTGCCGCGCGATCCCTTTTCGTCTTTAGCGTGCCGCGCTGTGGGTCCTGTGGGACGCGTGAGAGTTGTGCCCCTGTGGGAGTTGTGCGGCTTGTGAGGCCTGCGAGACGTGCGGGACCTGGGCGACTTGCGGGATCGGTGGGCGCTGCGGGACCTGTGCGACCTGTGCGACCTGCGAAACTTGTGGGAGCTGTGGGGCCTGTAAGACCTGTGGGACCTTGCAAAGCGTCGGCCTCGTTAGGACCTGCGAGAGACTTGCGGGCCTTGCGGGGTCTGTATGTGGGACCCGCGGGGCTTGTTCAAATTGTGGCACCTCTGGGACCTGTGGGACCTGCGAGACCTGCGGGACCTGCCA